TTGAAAATCACAAAGAGGACACGGATCAGCCCTTGCACCTTCCAAACTTGGGAATCAGACCCAGAAGTCCTGACTCTCACCCCTCTGCTCTAGCAATTACACCGTACTCGGGACTGGGAGGATTCCTGACTCCCAATCACCCCTACTCCACCCATGAGACTCCTTCAACCACCAAAGCTGGGACAGAGCCCAGCCCTACTAGATCTCACCCATGAGACTCCTTCAACCACCAAAGACAGAGCCCAGCCCTACTAGATCCGATTGCCTTCCAAGAGCCAGAAATAGAACACAGGAGTCCTGGAAGTGGAATGTTTCATACTGGGGGCATCTATTTCAACAGCTGCTGCCCCAACTTGTCACGCCCACAGTGCATGGGAGGTGTATTGAGTTCGTTAGGAAGTCTGGTAATTACTCACTTCACAGAGACACAATGGAGACCCAGCACAGAGGGGGAAGGGACACAGTTAGACAACAGCTGCTAATGTCACCACTCTGAGCCGACTGTCACAATGCTCTACCGCATCAGCACAAATCACCTCTCCCAGCGCTGGATTCCTGGGCTTTTTCTAAATCTGACTGACAGCCCCTATTCCCAAAAACACAGCAAAGCTAAGGATAGAACTCGAGTCCTGACTCTGAGGCCCCACCTCCCACTCTAATCATTAGTCCTTACTCCTCTCCCAGAGATGAGACTAAAGCCAGCAGTCCTGACCCCCAGACTTTCTGCACACAGTTCTACCAGCCAGATTCTACCACAGCTGAGTACGTGTCACCACTAGAGGTGACCTGGAATTTTTCGGGAACCAGAATTTCCATTTTTGTTGAGGAAAAAAAAGCTGGGATAATTTTTGTTGCGGTCCCTTTAATTTTTAAAGTGACGGTCCGCTCCCCTGCCACTCCCCACCACTCCCGCCGTGCGTACATCGAGTGCTGAGCTGGAAAAACAAAATGGCACCGGCACAGCATTGTGACCCCCCAGGAACACAGCCGACCCACGGGTTGCGCACCGCTGATCTAGTTGCTCAGGACTTGTAGGTTCTGTTCCCAGCTCTGATAGCATACTGCTGAGTGATTCTGGATAGGTCATGCCTCCCCCATGCCTCAGTTTTCCCATCCGTAACATGGAGATAATGCTACTGGCCTCTTTTGGAAAATGCTTTGAGATCAAGGGATTAAAAGCCCTAGTGAGGAGCTGGGGCTTGTTGTATTAGTATAAACCAAATGCTCTAAACTATCAAAATGATAACGTTTTGAATCCGTCTTAATATTTTGCTGGCACTGACAGCTTCCTGCAAAACCTGTTGATTTAGCTAAGCTGTATTTTCCAAAGGAAAACTGTCCTGCACACATTTTTTTTGAGCAACTGGGCGAGACGGGACCATGACTACTTTAACTGTCCTACTGCATCGTGACAAACACCTGGCATCTCCTGTTCACCAGACTGATGCGTCTGGATTTTGTTGAGAGTTTGTACACAGCCTCGCGTCATGGGCCCTGCTCCAGGCCTTCACACTTTCTCTTTATAGTTTTTTGACAAAATGCCAAAAGATTTCAACAGAAACTGCCTGAGGTGCTCACTGGACCATTAATGTTGATTTTCAATAAGTCTTGGAACACTGGGGAAGTTCCAGGCTGCTGGAAGAAAGCTAATGTTGTGCCAATATATAAGAAGGGTAAATGGGATGACCCAGATAATTATAGGCCTGTCAGTCTGACATTGATCCGGGGCAAGATAATGGAGCAGCTGATTAATAAAGAATTAAAAGACGGAGATGTAATTAATGCCAGTCAACAGGGGTTTATCAAAACCAGATCCTGTCAAACTAATGATATCATCTGACGATGAAATTACAAGTTTTTTAATAAAGGTAAGAATCTTGGTGTTATATGCTTAACCTTGTGGAAGGCATTTGACTGGTACCGCACAATGTTTTGATTAAAAAACTAGAACATATAAAATGAACACGGCCCACATTAAATGGATTAATCGCTCGCTAACTGCTTGGTCTCAAAATGTCATTGTAAACAGGGAATCCTCATCAAACAGGATGTTTCTCGTGGAGTGCCATAGGGATTAGTTCTTGGCCCTGTGCTTGTTAACATTTTTATTAATAACCTGAAAGAAAGCAAAAGCATCACTGGTAAACCTGGAGATGACACAAAAATTGGGGGAGTGATCAAAAACAAAGAATGCAGGTCACAGACACAGAGTGATCTGGATCGCTCGTCAGCCAGACACAAGCACACAATGTGTATCTGCATACGGCTAAATGTAAATGTATACGTCTAGGAACACAGAATACAAGGCCCTACCTACATGGTGGGGACTCAAGTGTGGGAAGCAGGGACTCTGAAAATCTACAGCAGGGGGCAACATCTCCCACACACGCACACACGCGGAGAGCACACTGCTCTGTAGGGGGCAGCAGCAGAGGCCGCTGACAAATTCCATTACCCTAGTTCCCCGCTGCAGGCAGCCTGGCTCTGAGCTGCAGTGGTGATTTACTAAACTGCAGAGAGGAGGAGCGTCCCAATGGGGTACTCAGCACACAAGGATTCAAGAGGTGTGTTCCTATGCAGCAGAGCCAGTGGCTGTACGTTTTTATGTCCGTCCCTACTCTTCCCCCCCGCAAGAGGAAATCCGAGCTGTAGTGTTATCATATGCATTATGGTAGCATGTAGAGTCCCCCTGACATTGGGCTACTCCCAGCCCCACTGCGGTCCTCAGTCTCACCTCTTTATTTTACTCTTGGGACAGTAGCTCTTTGGGGCAGGTGCTGTCACTCAGTGTCTGTACAATGCTGGGCACTCTGGGCCCCGATGTCAGTGTCCGTGCAGCACTCAGCCCAACAATGACCCCTATCCCTGTCAGGGTCTGCACTGAGTGTGGAGTGGGTATGGGAAGAGGTGGGGCTGGGGTGGGGCCTTGAGGAAAGCTGTGGAGTGGGGGCAGGGCCTGGGGCTGAGGTGGGGTGGGGAGTTTTGGGGATCTGTGAAAAATCTGAAATCAAAATTGGAGCCCTTGGGCTGTTAAAGTTTGAGAAGCACTGCTCTGGAAGTGACCATAAAACACCTAACTAGTGGAGTGGATTCCTGACCATGCACCAGCGATACACAGGATGCAATCAGGCTGACAAGCAGAGCCATCAAGTCCCCACAAGGAGATCAGGTGTTCTGGGAATGAATGCCAGCTAATTAAGACACACAGCAGGCCCTGGCTCTGTCAAGATCCATCATTCTCTGTGCATCTCAGATTCAGCTACTCCATCACCAGGGCACCTGCAAATGACTCTCCTACCAAAAGCGGGTAACAGAGATGGACAGATGGGTCCAAAGTCATCCTTGTTCAAGTCCCCACAAGGAGATCAGGTGTTCTGGGAATGAATGCCAGCTAATTAAGACACACAGCAGGCCCTGGCTCTGTCAAGATCCATCATTCTCTGTGCATCTCAGATTCAGCTACTCCATCACCAGGGCACCTGCAAATGACTCTCCTACCAAAAGCGGGTAACAGAGATGGACAGATGGGTCCAAAGTCATCCTTGTGCGGGTACCGTGCTTTGGGGAGATTAGTGAGGGACCCAGGGCCAGCAGCAGGGGTCAGACCCAGCCCCGCACTCAGCGGTGGTGGCAGGGGGAAGAAGCAGAGCGAACCGGCAATCCCAGCCCACCCTGGTCTGCTGGTGAGTTTGGGGACGGTTCCACCCCTTCCCCCAAGTCTCCTCCCCTGAGAGCCGGGTTGCTCCACTTCCTGCCTCCGCTGGTGAGTGGGGGAGGAACTCCTGCTGCAGGGAGAGGCCGTTTGAGGGAAGGGATGGTGGGAAGTGGAGTGGGCTGGGGCCAGATCGTCCCACTTCCTGACGCTGCTGGTGAGAGCAGGGATGAGCCCAGCCCCTGCTAATTCCCTGAGCTGCGTTGCTTGGGGGAGGGGGCTTGGGGAAAGAAGTGGAGAGGGAGTGAGGAGGGGCAGAGCAGGGGCAGGGGTCGGGGCAGGAAGAGGTGGGGTGAGGGCAGAGTGGGTGAGCGTTTGGGGGATGGGGCAGGGGTGGGAAGAGGTGGAGCAGGGCAAGGCCTGTGATGGAGTTGAGGGGTTATCCTGGTCCCAGACCCAATTAGGGATGGCCCTGGAAGGGCCCCAACCCACAGCATGGGCTCCTGAATCCAGCAAGCGTCAGCCGGGAACAGTTCGAGACACCCTGGTCCAATGGACAAGGGCATTGAGCTGGGGTCTGGGTTACTGCTCGTTTCCCGTCTGTCTGTCTGGAGAAGCACCTAGGAGCCCTCGCATGACCCAAGCTCCCCGTGTGCTAGATGCACAGAGCAGAAAGAGAGTTTCTGCCCCCCAGGGGCTTCCAGCCTAACCATGAGGCAAGAGACAAGAGACAAGAGACAGACGGGCAAGTACAAGTAAGCAGTGAGGCACGACGGGCAGTGGGATCAGGGCCAGCAGCGTAACCAATGGTGAGCTTCCCATGGGCATCCAGGGGAGAGTTGTGCAGAGAGATGTGACCATGGATAACAAGGTAGCTCCCCAGACCTATTGCTGGTTCTGGGGGGAGAGTGGGGTCTAGTGGTCAGAGCAACGGGACTGGGAATCTGGACTCTATTCTCAGCTCTTACAGTGATGGGAAACTGAGGCGCAAAGAGCCAGGAAAAGTCCCGATACCCATCCACTTCTGTCCTAACTACCTTACTGCACACTCCTCCCAGAAATGTTGGCTCCCAGACCGATACTCTAGATAGGGGATTACACCCCCTCCCGAAGAAAGCAATCGTGTTTAGACAGAACGGAAATAATTTTGTACTTCACAAAGGACCAGTGGTGAGACACATGATATCAGACAGTTGGCATCTCAAAGGCTCCTAATTAACAATTAACCCACAACTCCCCTGCCCTTGTCCCGATCCACAGCCTTGTGTTATCCCAGCTCTGAGCGCCGCACACACACAGTTGTGCCAATGCTCTTCTGTCCCAGCCAGAAACCCAGGGTGGCTCATACCTGCTTGGCCAGTTTGACGGCATCATTGGTGAGTTTGGAACGGAGCTGGGAGTCTAGGTGAGCCGCCGGGGCAATCTCCACGACCTTTTGGTGCCGCCTCTGGATGGAGCAGTCCCGCTCGTAAAGGTGCACCACATTCCCATACTTGTCCCCTGCAGAGAGGGGAAGGTCAATGCTGTATCCCTTCCACTGACTGGGGACCGTTGGTCACAGGTAGAAGAGACCTGAGGCAGGCAACACCCAACCAATGTCCTCCAACCTTGGGGCTGGATCAGAGCCAGCATGCCCTAATGGGGAAAGGCCCTGCATCCCATTCCCTGCCCCCGAGTCAGCCACTCCCCCTGCCCTGGGACTGGCACACAGCTGGTGCCTCCTAGAGGAGAAAAACCCTGTGTCCCATCCCAGCCCCCACCCACACCTCCCGCTCTGGGACTGGATCAGACAGGCAGAGGGATATTGAGGCTCACCCAGGATCTGGACCTCAATGTGTCTTGGCTTCTCGACGAACTTCTCCACAAAGAGAGCTCCGTTCCCAAAAGCAGCTAGCGCCTCTGAGAACGCCCGGGTGTAATTCTCCTCCAACTCCTGCAGGGGGCAGATAGGTGAAAAATTGACTCTGCAGCATGGCCTAGCATTTGACTAGGACTTGGGACCCCTGAGTTCTAGTCTCTGGGAAAGCACTGAGGTCTGGTGGGCAGGGGTAAGGTGGCTGGGAGTGAGGTCTGCTGGGCTCTAGTCCCAGTTTTCCCACCAAATTACTGGTGATCTTTGGAAAATTATGAGTTTGAAGCTCCCATTGTCCTTTGTGTTGCAATAATCCCTGACCTGAAACCTCAGAGTTTAAAAAGACACAGGATGGCAGGGGAAACTGAGGCACCAAGAAGGAAAAGGGCCTGCCCAAGTTCCACACCAGAGCCAGGGAGAGAACCTAGGCATCCTGCCTTCTATTCCAAGACCAAGGTTCCCTCTCATTTTTTCTATCCGAGCGCAGAATAAATTTTGTTGTGTGTGCCAAAGCATGTAAAAATGTGCACCACAAGTAGAAACACATGTTGCTGGCTGTGGGCACTATGAGTGTCCTGCTAATCAGCCGGGGTGACATCTGAATCTCTCTTGGGTGGTCACCCAAACAGTTAGCTTACAAGGAGCACTGTCCAGGACCCATGCTGCCACTTTGAAGGTAAGGTCCCTTCAGTCCCTGCTACCTCCCACTTTGGAGCAAGGGGCACCTCTTTCTCTGCTGTGCAATAGAGTTAGTCTGCCAGGGAGTGCAGAGACGTCACCCTTCCTGTACACTCTTCATGCAGCCTCAGGGTTTTCTCAGCTTTAGGATGAGAGCTGAGACAAAGCAGCCCAGGCAGTGCTGAGAGTAGCAGGAAGTTTTTACCATATCTTTGTATACAGTAGGGATGTCAATGTGTAGTTGACTACACCAGGAATGGCCAACCCGTTGAGAGCCAAAATAGCAGTGGACAGAGTTCAAGGAGCCACGTACTGGGGCGGAAAATTGTTGAGAAAAAAAAGAAACGCGCCGGGAGAAAATAGGTGCTGGTATACCATCTCAGGGACGGGGCTCCAAGCTGGACAATGTTGAAATCAACCCCTCCAAAAAACCCCAAGCCTCACTAATGTGGTCCCCAACTGTGCTAGTGGAGGCAAGGGACAGAGTGCTGGGGCAAGGTGCTGGTGGGTGCTGGTGTGGGGGGTCTGGCCAGGGGGAGGGGACAGGACAGCTCAGCTGGTACCTGGAGATCCCGGCTGCTCTTCCCCTCCCCTCTCCTCCCTTCCCCTCCCATAAACAGCTGGCGCGCTTCCTGAAACACCAGGTCTGTCGCTTGGCCCTTCCCCCTGCTGCCTGCCTGTGCAGGATGTGTGTGTGTGTAGGAGTCCCGGGACTGCATGCCAGCTTCAACTTCTCAGGAAGCGCATGCTCTTCCTCTGCTCCCCATGACAGCCATGTTCTTCCTGAGAAGTTGCAGCTGGCGTGCAGTACCAGGATTCCTACTCCCTCCTGCCCCTCTAACCCAATTCGCCCCCTTTTCCCTCCCCTCCCCCAGAGCCAGCCCCCTATCCCCACTCTAACCCAATCCCCTTCTCCTCCCCCAGAGCCAGGCCTCCCTCCCGGCTCTAACCCAATGCCCCTCCTCACAACCTTATGCCTGGGTCCCAGAGCCAGAGCCAGAGCCAGAGCTAGAGCTGCTGCTACCACCACACGCATTTCGAGGGGAAGGAGCTCCTGCCCAGGCACTGGAGCAGCTGCTGCTGCTGCCTGAGCCAGAGCCAGAGCCAGAGCCAGAGCTGCTGCTACCACCACACGCATTTCCCCAGGCACTGGGGCGTGTGCTCTGAACGGCCGGCTTTGAGCATGTGCTGGCTGGGGCGCCCCACGCCCCC